GTAGGAGTAGGAGTAGCAGTAGTAGTCGTAGTAGTAGTAGTCGTAGTAGTAGTAGTAGTAGTAGCAGCAGCAGCAGCAGCGACAGTAAGTAGTAGCAGGTCTAGCAGCAGTTGTGGCACTGGCAGTAACGGTCGTGGCGTCGTCGTCGTATGTCGGAGTCGTAGCAGTAGTAGCGGTTATTAGTAGTAGTCGTAGTAGTAGTGGCAGCAGCAGCAGCAGCAGCAGCAGCAGCAGCAGCAGCGGCAGCAGCAGCAGCTGTAGTAGTCCACTAGCGCAAGTTGTTGTTCTCAGGGCGTAGCCCGAAAGACAGAAGTCATCATCGTGCTACCAGTAGCAACAGCACTCGTTGCAGAAGGCCGAGCCTTAGTACTCCATGGTGCCCACGGCCGCCTGCTACCTGGGCGGACGTGGCACTTCGCATGACAAGGCCAAGGCATTGTGCAGAATTTCGCGTGGAACCACATTGTAGCTGGACCGGGAACTCTACAGCCACCTGACCGTTTTGTCTCTGAGATCAACAGAGACACACGAAGCTCGACTGAGCCCCGCGTTTGCTGTTAACAACCTCGCAGCTCCACCCAACCCTGAATATTGGAGATATAGACTCAAAGAACCCCCAAAGAGGAACCCTTTAAATGAGTCCGGCCACGATGAGGCCGTCGCCAAGGACGGCTGCCTGGGCGCAGTGGCAAGGCTTTCGGAGATGCTCGAAAGCAGTACAGTAGTTCGATTTCTGTGTAAAAATTTGACTAGCAGCACAAGCCAAAGCTAGCCAGTGATTCGGTTAAGACGGAAGTCACAACTTGCATGTGCCAAACGGCGATAGATAACTTTCTAGCGACTCTAGCACTTCATATTTCACGACGTTCCATCTACTGTCTGCGCTTGCAAAACGAAGACGCAGTCTCCCCCATCCCCTTGCCAACAATTTCACTGGCTCACTCCACTCCTGTGCCCCAGGCGGCCAGCCCGGATCGGCCGAACAGCATCGGTGGCCTTGCACAGCCAACCGACGGATGTGTGGAAAGGGCCTTATTGGACAACAACTGACTATGCTCACAGGCCAGATACTGGACTCAAGCCTCGAGAAAGAGCTGCCATGTAGTTAGGACTTCGGAACCCTCAGGAGAGCTCTGTCACCTCGCATGTTCGATTAGCGGGAGGGATAGGAATAAATGAAGGGGCAGTCGTCGTCGTAGTCCTAGTCGTCGTATTCGTAGTCGTACTCACAGTCGTAGTCGGAGTCGCAGCAGCAGTGGCGGCAGCAGGACTCGTACCAGTAGTAGCAAAAGTCGCATCAGCTTTACCTTTCACATGAATATGAGTATTGGTATTGGTATTGGCATACGTATGAGTATCAGATTTAGCTTTCGTGCTGGTCGTATTAGTTTTGTATCTGACCATCAGCAACAGTCTTGGTGTTATTGATAGTAGTCGTAAAAGTATTCGGAATCGTGGTCGTATTCGTGCTAGCAACTCATATTACTGCTAGTATGGTATTGGCATTAGCATTGGTACCAGTGTGGGTTTCCATTCTTGGATGCTCCGCTGGAGTATGCTAGACCTTTGAAACCTATAATGTAGGACTACCGTCAGCTGATGTTTATCGGATAAACAACTGACAGGTATCCCCATATTGACTGCTTCCTCAGCCTTGGCAGGATGGTTATCTCTAAAGGCCTTACAAGTTGTTCTTCCTTCGATCGCAGCTCGAGGGTGCAATCATGATAAACTTGATTCGCAAGCGATTGGGCTTTAATTCTGCTTTACGGCTGGAGGGGTGCTTTGACCTCACGAATGACAAGCAGACTGATAATGCGGGTGACGCGTACTCACTCTTGTTGTGGCCACTTGAATTTAGCAGCCAAGCAGTTCCCGGGTTTAGGTCGATGCTTAAGCGTACAACACGCGCACACATGTAGGCTCGGGAAAGAAACGCTTGCCGTGTTCTGCAGATGCTCCTGTGAGATCTGGGTATTTAGTCTTAGTATTTAGATTGGTATTGGTATTGGTATTAATATCAGTACAAGTATGAGTATTAGTATTCGTACCAATATCCAGTATCCAGTATTTAATATTAGTATTAGTATTGGTATAGTAGTATGCAGCATTAGCATTAGCATTAGCATTAGCATTAGCATTAGCATTAGCATTAGCATTAGCATTAGCATTAGCATTAGCATTAGCATTAGCTTTAGCTTTAGCTTTAGCTTTAGCTTTAGCTTTAGCTTTAGCTTTAGCTTTAGCTTTAGCTTTAGCAGTAGCAGTATTGTTCCGCTTTATTCTTCTTAGTAGTAGTGGTGGCAGCAGTAGGAGGAAGAAGAAGAATAAGAGGAGTAGGAGGATGACAAGGAGTAGGAGTAGTAGGACCAGTAGGAAAAGCAGCAATAGCAGGAGCAATAAGCAGTGGCAGCAGGAGTCGGGGTCGTTGGGGGGCGGGGGCGGGGACTGTTGTTGTCGTTGATGTGACTGTTGTTGTCGTTGATGTGATTGTTGTTGTTGTTGTTGTTGCTGCTGCTGCTGCTGTAGCTGTTGAAGCAGTGGTAGACTCGTTGACCTCATTCATATTCGTCGGCATCGTCTTCCTGCTGGTACGAGTATCGGCTCATAGATTTTATATATTGCCTGACATTCAAGCCGACAACACGGAAGCTTTGCGCCGCGCATTGGTTGCCAGCCCTCGCCACGGAGCTGCCAACTGAGGAGGTCCAACCTGATGACGCCGCACTTGGGACTCAAGGGTTTAAGATTGGGGGGATTTCTGGCTTGGTGGAGTGCCTGAAGATTTGCGCGGGGACAGGTCATCAGAAGACTGCATGCTGTCAGAACCTTGAATGGTCGGAGTTTGTGATCCGCTGGCATCAGCAGTCCCTGAAACAAGCTGGGTACCTGGATCAGCGCACTTCCTGCCCACCAGGAACCAAGATCTGCTAGCAGTGTGCCCAAATTCTGGGGCACCCCGAACATTCAACCATACATCCCACACGATTGAAGGCCTGTTAGGGCAAGCGGGAATCTGAACATTCGATGGTGTCTCCTGGATGATGGGCCATGAGGGATGCATGGAAGATTCATCTGAATCATGGAACCCAGAAAACCCGAAAATTAGAATGGGGTTTTGAAGGTTCCTGATTAGAACTATAGTAATTATAGTATTATGGGCCCCAAACCCCTATTCTATTATAGTAATTATAGTATTATGGGCCCCAAAACCCTATACTAGTCGTCTAGTCCACCTGAACTCCTGGCCAAGCATCCTCTCGACAGAGACGTGTCTCGATTCCCCGTGGCGCCCTTGCAAGGCTTCATGTTTGGCAGCGCAGGGCCAGAGGCACGCAGTACGCACCTAATAATAATAGTAATAATAAGAATAAGAATAAGAATAAGAATAAGAATAAGAATAAGAATAAGAATAAGAATAATAATAATAATAACTTAATAATAATAATAATAATAGGGGCCCAGAGAATTAGAATAGGGTTTTGTGGTATATTATGCTGTAATCATAATGAGGAACCCCCGCAGTAGCATTTGTAGTTACTCAGGCCCCTATATTACACACAAACCAACAAAACAAGAACCTAGGAAGGCATGGGCTGAGGAGAAGCAAAAGCTTCAGATGCTCCTGGATCTTCGCATGCATGAGATCTCCTAAACTGGTGTAAGGGAGCTAGTCCTGGATCCAGAAACTTAAAACCAGAAGCAAAAATCAACCCTGCCATCAACCCTTAATCGCTGAAAGCTACACACCCTGCTCAAACCACCTGCGAGCCTCCCAAGGCGAAGAGCGTAGTTGAGGCCAGGCCACCTGAAGCAACCTCGTCTCAAGGCTTTGGAGTCTGTCTAGGGTTAATCCCAGTTCAGGGCAATGACGCTGTAGGGCCTCAGGCAGGGAGTCTTTTGCGGTACTTTGTGTTCTGTTCTAGACAGGGTCCAGGGCTTCGGCCCAACCCGTGAAGCTCTCAAGACTTCCTCGCAGGAGCATTTGGTGTTTACGTTGAAGTGGCTTTGCGAGGCAAGATTGGGGAGCTTCTGCCGAATTAAGGCCTTGTTGCGGTTCGGATGCCTCCTGCTGTCCCTTCTGAAGGACCCCATACTTCGCACATGCATCCTCGCCCATCCTGCACGGCCAGGTCTTGCGACACAGAACGTCTCCGGCAAGCACTGGCTGGTGGCCTATCCTGGCTGAACCCATGACCTCAAAACCAGATTCTTGAACCAGAATGCTTAGTAGAGCATCGCTGCAAATGAAAATACCAGTAGCATATCAGTGGAAATAGAACACATATAGTCGTGTTAGCAGGCGACACAAACTGTAACATCATAATCACCGTCCTAGACTCATCGTCATCCGCATCCTCATCCTCCAAAACCATGATTGTCACAGTCATCACCACGAACACCAGAAGCATCGTCTCCAAATCAACGTAACATAACCATTGCAATCTGGTTCTCTCGTTTGCCGTGTCCCGGATCGTCAGACGTTAGCCAAAGAGCAGCGAGGTCAGCTCGATGATGCTGCATCGGGGGCAGCATGCAACGCCAGCGGCTGCTGACAGAGTCACCTGTGACACTCGGCCACACAGGCAACTGCCACTAGATGAGCTGCTGCCAGACCCACCCCACCTTGTGCATACATGTACGAATTGAGGTTCCATATCATTCGTCGCTCCAGCAGCCAAGCTGGCATGGTTGCCCCCCTACCCACACTGGCCTGTGAGTGAACAAACTACTTCTGCCGATGTCTCGCAGCCGTTGGCATCCTTGGCTACATCAGGCAAGTGGGCATCAGCCGTGGATGTTTACCCTGGGTCGATAAAACTATCGAAGTCCTTGCACGATCCTCATCTTCGCGAAACAGAGTCGATATCTTAGTAAGCAACCAGGCGTTGGTTATGCTCTGCAATCTGCTGCCGCTGCGAGGTCGTTCAACCAAACTCACATTTTCCATGACACCAACTCACAGATGGCAAAACCCATCCCCACCTAAACGCACGGAGGGATGTCTTACTTGCCGGCTCTGGCCAACAAAAGTCTCGGCAGTCGAGCTGCTGCGTCTTGTGTCACGGGCTCATGCCTGGCACAACTCAGTCACTTGCTTCAGCCCAGCCTGCATTCCCTTCCCCTCAACCCTAGACGATGCTGCCTACTTGTGAATTGGTTTTCCGTCATCATCATCATCTCCGATAGTTCGGTTCTGAGCATCTGCCCCTGAACTCTGAAAACGGGTTCTGCAGGCTCGGATCGTGGTGATTGCTTTTTGGCGTAACATTCATCTGTCGACCATCGCCAAATCTCGGAAATCAACATGACCCTTCATACAATGATGTCAGACTGATGCTTAAAGACCACAAGTAACCGACCTGGCCTATTCCAGTTCGAGTTGTAACCGCCGATGCAGATCAAGCGTGGCGGGGCATGCGCCTGCGCACGACGCAGCGGAAACACCGGAACTCACAATCAAGTGCCATACATCCAACTGAGAAGGGACGACAACACAAAGCCCGGCCTGCGCCAGCGCTCTAAGCAGCTGAGGGGCCTTCGATGTTGAGTTTCGGTAGCTAATTCTGACAGCCTGACTCTAGACCGTAGGGTAACATGGTCTTGAACTTATTTGCTGACGGAGCAGTTGCGGGTCTGGACATCGAAAGTACAACCCCTAAACCCTAAACCGTGAGCAATAATTAACCTGAAAGCCCCCACTCCGTGGCGGTTGTGCAAGAGGACACCACTGCCGTCTCTCCATCAGGTTGCTAATTCTTAGTTTATCCTTGTTGGTTGCATTGCGCCAACAGGCACAAATGGAGGCCCGGATGCGCGCACGAGACAGCGGAGTTCGAAGACCGTTCCCAAGCATGCAGTGCCATGCCTACTTCCCATCCTTGAAGATGTTGGACACAGCAATTTAGGCTACGAATTGGCTGAAGCAAGGCGGTGTCGGCGGCGGCCACTAACCCTTCTACAACCACCGTATTCCCTGCACCTCAACCGAGGTTTGAGCCCTTTGGGGGCAGTATACCCACGGTATGCCCACGACACCTGCCCAGCTTTGGTCATTGAGTGTGAGTTCGAGCGCAGACACATTCGTTTGCAAGTCGTGGTTGCAGTGCTAGCGGGGTCGGGTCTTTGCGTCAGGATCTTGTAGCCCAAGCCGGGTCGGGCGCTTGCCAATTCCAAGCATTGATTTTGGAGTTTTGCAGCTGTCCATCTTCGTACTTTCCACTTTTGGCTTGACTTCCTGAAGGAATCCTCCGCATGCCAATTACTCTTCAAAGCGCGGCCGTGATACACAGCATTGGCATTCAACTTCAAAAGGTCAACATGTCACTGGATAAGTTCTTGGTGGGAAAGTTGTCAGTGGCGTCGAACCTATTCAATAGGATTGGAGCGATCTCAAGAAGGACCCGGGTGTTCAGATAAACGCTTAATCAGAAGCCCTAAGCTGCAAGATGTCCAAGCCGTGTCGGATCATCTGACACGCAGGCTTACATAGCCAAGGATATCGCAAACAAGAGGGATGAGCCGCGAGACTTTAGCTAGCAGTCCAGGGCTTCTGCCTTTTTAGAGCGGCTAAGTGCAGAAGCCCAGATCAAGCCCACCCTCGACCCAACCTCTACCAAAAGCAGCCCACAGTTAAATTACCTGCTTCAGGGTTTGGGATGCTTGGAGCTTGAAAAGGAACTGCCTGAACACCAAAACCACGTCCAAATGGGCGCCAGGGTTCAGTGTCGTGCTTGGCTTCCGGAACAAAATTCTAAAGGAATCTCCCGCAACACAAGATTTAGGGATTAGGGCTTACGGGTTAGGGTTTAGGGACAGCATCTACACTCAGCAGGAGAGTTTGGTGCATCGTTCGGCTCTCTTGCAGGATTTGGGACATTCGGATTCTAAATTTCAGAATCGGAAGCTCGGGATCATTTCCCGAGACTTCCGGTCTCTCCGACGTGAACTGTCTATCTGTCTGGAACCGTTCCAACCGTTCCTTGCCCCCGCTGTATAGCTGGCAAACATCTTCGGAGAATAAGGTGACGGCATCTACAACTTGCTGTTGTTAACGCCGTCCCAAAGACTTAAAGAACGAACACAACAGAAGTTATGGAAGAAACAGGCCGGTCGACTCAGCAAAATTCAGTGCCCCAAAAGACCTATGCACCTCAAAACCGAGCCCATGCAAGCCCTTAGCAAAGGGGTCGTGGTTGTCGCGCACTGCTTCTACTTGTGCTGCAGCAGTACGGCTCTTGCGGTTGAAGTATGGACATGTGTGTCCGCAAGGGCCAGTTCAGTAAAGTGGTACAGGATCTGGAATAGTGCTTTTGGCTGCAGTTTAGGGCTGCTCATCGTTGCATAACCCAACACGCTAACCCTAACCCTTGAACCCTAAACCCTTAATCCTTAACCACTAAGCCTATACCCTAAAGCCCTCAACAAGCCCTTCCTGTGGCCTGCCGGCACGGCGATGGAGGTCGAGTCCGCTCGGACAGCAGTGCAGCAGCAGTTGTCTCCTGGGCTATTGCTTGACATAGTCTTAAAGAATCTTGCTAGAGATTTAGACAGGCTCATACAGAATTATTAAGTCTCAGAAATTAGGGGTCCGCGCTTTTTGTCCGTACCATAAGAGACTTGCATACAGTGAACTCTACAAGTACGGGAAAGGGTCTTCCGATTGCGGGGGATGTCTAACGAAATCGAACTACGGTTGCCCCCATCTGATGTACTTCTAGCACTGGATGCACCTGAACGCCACTTGCCAACAGCTATGCATGCATAGGAGCACATCAGAAGCTCTCTGGCCGGGTATGCTGTGACGGCCTCGTTTAACGATGTCCAAAAAACTTTGGCTGTGAATGGAAAACGGCCGCATCATGCGAAACATCCTCATATTCATGCCTTCAAATTGAAGGAATAACATTCCGCCAACCATATTCTGCATGGACTTGTGTCAGGCTTGTTGCATGGTTGGCCGGGCAGCCCGAAAATCAGATCAACTTCGACCAGCAACAGCACTCGTAGAAACGTTAATGAATCAGATGGTGAGATTGTCTTGCAACCTTCACAATACGGTTTGCGCTCCAACTTCTATGAAACAGTTACGGAGCCTGCAAACCGCGATGACCGTTACTGGTACCATCCTGACGATGATCACACACGAGTGTTCCCAGGTCCTTATTATCATCATGACGTTCTCTGTCAACACGAGCACGAACAACTTCCAGATTCAGAACGATGCCAATGCCAGTAGCAACAAAAGCTTAGAAAACAAACGTTAGATAAAAAATGCAATTATTACGTTTCTGCTTCTTTGTGTCGTTTCCGGTATTGCTGTCATCTCTAGCTCTGCTCATTGTCATGTCCACCGTCTCCGCTCGGCACATTCCCTCTGAGTACATCACAACAAAGAACATGTGTTGTTGTGCCGGTGCTGCGGTGCTGGTGCTGGTGCTGGTG